ATATAACTTACCTACATATAAATCTCAAATAACTTAGATTTTGTTGTGGATTTTTGTTTAAAAATGCATAAATTACCCTAAAACACTTTATGTCATGTTCCCCCAGTATTTTGTTGATGTTTTCCGTAGTAAGATTTTTTTTGGTGGCCAAATTTTAATTAAATTAATAAATAAATTCTCCAAAAATAAGTACAAAAATATATAACCAAAATAAAATAGGCAAAATGAAATAGATTTTTAGAATGTTAATGTAAAATGAAATTCATTTACATAGATCCTTAAAAAATAAATAGAAAATGAAAGTCAGTTACGACAGTGCAGATAATTCAAAAAACAGGTAGAACTGTTAAGGAGAGAGCGCATGATTTTAGAGTATACAATAGGTACTTTAGGCAATCTATGGCAAAAGGCTAATTTGTTATTTAAATTTTATAAAATAACATAGTCCTACACTTGTGGCTTATGAAACCGTTTTGTTTTTTCACCGACAACATCCAGATTTTTGGAAGAATTTTTTTAGCATTTCACAATTTAACAAAACAAACCGAATGCTCTGAAATCGTACGAAGGCTTAAAATTTATCGCAAGCATGGTAAGTCGTTAATCAAAATGTATCCGTTTATACTCCCCTTCCATGGGAGATTTGATAACGGCGTCTCGAAAATTTACCGAATAAATCTTAAAACTTAGATCACGGGAAGCGACTAAACTACGCTTGCGGGAATTTTTATTTCACCATTCAACAAAAAACGCTCGTATTGAACAATGTTAGGATTTTTGACATGTTGCCTAATTCAGACACTATACAGTTATCCTTTAGGCAATATAATAGGCAATTAGGCGAAAACCACTTGAGTTCAAATGAGAGCATTCTTTTCGAAACACATTTGTATAGGGATCTTATATGAAAGTCTATTTTAGAAATAAAAAGGAAGGTGCCCTAAGATCCGCTGCCTGCTAAGACAAGACTACAACCTTGACAGAGGTGACAATTCTAGAAAACCCATAAAACATAGTAAATAATAATAAAATTAAACATTTGAATCACTATCACTATCAGGGGCGGCTGATGCCAGGGGGCACAAGGGCACATGCCCTCCCAAAATTACAACGTCTACTAACACATTGGACATAACAGTGTTTTTTAATATTTATTTAAAAAATTATCCGGATATTTATGTCATACTTATGATTATCAAAACTAATTTTTTATCTCGCTACACTTGTATAAAATGTATCAAAATTTACATCTAAAGATATTGTGTCGTGGATAAATGATATGTTATTGGTGATGAAGTGCTGATAAAAGCGGAGACGGAAACCAAATCATGGCTGATTTAGAGGTTTTATTACACCGTTGCCATGGAAACCGTGCGTCTAGTCGCGATATTGCGCGGGAATCGGGTCCTGTTCCGACAGTGCTCACCAGCAGTAACTCAATTGCGGTTTTTAATTTTCATTCTGCCCTATGAAATTATTTGATTTTAAATAAAAATAATGAATTTGGTTGAATATTTAATGGTAATAACAACAGTTTTATATCTTCATATTTAACTCATCAATCAAATTGTGTCCCCCCATTTTAAAAGGTCATGAGCCGCCACTGATCACTAGTAAGAGAAGATTAAGACTATAAAGTGAAGGTAATACCTTATTTTGTCTCACGAAGAAATTTGGCAGATTTGCACAGAATGTAATCAGTTTAATCCGGACAGGTTTTATTTCCCAAAAAACTTGCAAGTACCCATTTAAAGCTACAATGTCATATTTTGCTTCAAGTAGGGACGTAAATAAGTATCCAGCAGTAATCTGCAAACATGTTAGTGTTTTATTTGTTCTAATGCCTTATTTCAATGCAAGTGTTTAGATTTTCGAAAAAAATATCAATGCGAATATTGAAAACGTATTATTCGTGGCTTCGTAAAATCTTCTGAGAATTACAGCTAATATTCCGTCTGGCAAGAGCTGTCTTATTTGAGATCCTACAAACACTTACTTACTTTACTTTATGGGTAAACAATGTTTTGTATATCTAAGTTTTAAGCCAAATAAAAAAGCAGTAACTTTCAAACCTTCACACGTTTTTCACCAATGCTAGCAATATGAGCTTTCGTTGTGTGGTAGTACAACTTATAAATTGAGTTTGGAGGCATCAGTTTGAAGAACAAATAAATACTTACCTACCTACCAACGGTTTGAATGACTCCCCTGCTAATCTATAGCACGTTTTTTTTTTTTGAGAAAACAAAGGTTTGATTATTACGATCCAATAAATTACAACCCTTCAACCGCGATTCTAAACGATCAACCTGCCTTTTGTATAAATTTAGGTCACGTACTAAATCGTTACGATCTCCTTGTGTTGGTTAATAAATGGGGTGCGTTAGAAAAGATCCTTGCTTTTCAAAGTCTGGTTTGTCGAGATTGGTCTTTAGCAGATGGTCAACTGTGAGTACTTCAGAGTGTCTCCGACGGCTGCCGTTATGTCCTCATGACTATCAACATTCATTTATTTTATATCTTTTATCGAAATTAGCGACGATTTTCTTTCACCCATTAAAGTATACTCGAACATGAAGTCTAATTGCTTCTGTACCACCACAAATCTTTTTTTAACATAATATGGGTGAAATCATGTCTACTTCAAGAAAAAATGATGTTTGTCTAGGCTGTCGACATTTAAAAATTTGAAACAAATATTCTATTTTTTCATCCGTTTGGGGACATTAGTCACAGACGGAGATACAGACAGATACAGACTTCAAAGTTATAACACACCTCTTGTTACGTGGGGATTAACAAAGTAAATATGATATAATGTAAGGTTTTTTGCTTTGTTTATAATACTTACCGAAACTAAACTGAGTTGCGGCTTGCAGCAATGGTCATAAATTCCACTGAAATTGGCAGGTAGTTGAAAAACGAATTGAAACAAATACAAAATATATTTCTTATTTATCGAACTTTTCTTTTATCACAATTTGTTTTTAACACGAACACAGTTTTGATAAAGTGTTGCATAAAATTTATAACTCCGTTACTTTACGTTTTCTTGAAAAATCCTCGGACAGGTCAAATTTTTTAAAAATGACATTTTTAAGCACAATAACGGCATCTACAATTTTGTTAAATGGCAAGCCCTACTTTTATTAAATTATTAAATGGTTGTAGAGAAAAACTGGTTTTTTATATATACGCATTTTATTGCACGGATAATCGAGGTTTCACTGTAAAAAGATTTCTCAGAATCCGTAGACAATATTAGGGTTTCTATTAAAAAAATAGATCATAGTTACTCACTATGCAGCTGGTTATAAAAAAAATTATACTAAGATATAAAATTAAGTTACCCCAAGATTTTTCAAGAAAACTTCGATTAATGCAATTTTATGCAGAACTTCAACATATTGTATACACCCCCTGATACGGGATTCTACCTGCTACTGCTACAGTGTCATCTAGGTTATGTTTACACTATCATTACTGTCTTTCAGTCCACAAGAACAATACAATTTTAGTGAATACAAAAACAACGTTCGGAATATCCACAGTCATGAATGAAGCTTTCGTATTAATATCAGATTTATTTCCAAGCTACACAATTTGAGAAATAAATATCACGTCGCTGACATTTTCTGCGGTTGATATTTAGAAACAATCCATATTACATGTCCACTCGACCGTATCCGTTCGGTAAAACATGCATTTTTAATCAACATTATTTATCCCATGCTCTCAGTATGTAATAACAGCATACCAGTCATCACATTCCTGAAATGGCAAAACGTTTCCACTTACCTCAGCCCTTCCTTTTGTTTTTTTATCGTCCATGAAAATTCGCTAACGAAGAGAAATTTAATTAATGCTTTTTAATCATGCGGAACAGCGGCGTTCAAGTCGAGAAAAGGGAGAAAATGTATGCATAATTGCATAATATTGGGTTGAGCCGTTATCTGCATGCATGGAATATACAGTTAATTGCAGATAAAAGCAAACTAAATCGACTGTTTCAAATAATAATTATAACTGCAGCACACAGCGAATAATCGTATACGATACGTGTGGTCATTTCCAATTAATAATGTATGTGCTTGGTGGGTATTAGTTGTGGAGTCTTCGGGGACTTAAGCGAGATTTATGGCACACGACCAGTTGGATAATAATTTATTCTGGATGCATTTGATTTATATTGTTATTATGCAAATTTTTGAATAAGGTCACCGTATTATTGTAATTGAATAGCGATCGTAACAAAAAGCTATTTCCGCTACGCTGTTTTCCGAAATTTCGGTTTGATTTCCAGATAAAGTTCGCCGGAGTTTCTACTCTGAATATGTAATTACATATAGCCAAACTGTTAACTACTTTGAACTAGATACTTAATTTAATTACAATCTATTATATAGTTAAATTCTATTTTATGCATGCTTTACCGCACGTAAATTACAATTTCGAGCTTACTCCAGCCTTTACTTGAACTTTGGGATAATGAAATGATGGCGGCTATCTATAGCGGGGTTATTACCATGATGGTCACGACTGGTTTTTCGTACAAATGGAAAGACCGTAACGAGATTACGTCATTTTCCCACAAAAGAGGATAATATGCTTATTCTGTAGAAACTAAGTAAGTGTGTAATTTTAATTAAATTTTACGTGTTATTTGAGAGTGAAAAGCGATGTGTATTACATGTATTTCTCATTTAACCTAAATACGTCGTTAACGGTTGAGAGTGTATTCCGAGCGCTTTTCGACCATGGAATAAACTTTGCTAAAAAAGAATGACTACAAGGCGAAAACTTCCGTTTTCTTGGAGGTAAAGACCGTTTTGTGCTTAAGAGGCTTATGAATACATCATTACATATTCTCCTGCTGCCGGATTGTAGTTGTAGTTGCATTGCTTGTTAAAACTTTTATTCGTTTGGGTTTAAGGAGGACGTATTTAGAGTTTCTTGCAAACCACCAACAAATAAAAAATAACTTTTCCAACTTTCTTCGTTTTATTTTAACAAATAAAAGAGTATTAACAAATCACAAACCTTTTATATTACGGGGATTAATGATAATAATACCTTACGTATCACAGCAATTACAAAGTTATTTTTTTTAGTAAAATACAACCAAATGTACGATTAACATTTAAGATACGATATGAATATTTGATTTGTCGTTATGAGGTAAACGGATGTCTGGAAAGTATAAAAAATTAAGTGGGTTGGAGTTCGCAGAAAATACGGAAAAACTGTAAGATACGAAGAGGAAAAACATGTACCAAAGGTTCGGGTAGTCAGCGGCTTTTTAAATAAAGATTTCTTTCATGTCTGATCGTGAGAGCTTTAAAACTAGTTAATAACAATGGTTTTAACTGGCCTTCGTACGTAAATGAATGGTGTTAGCGGCAATTAAGTGGGTCGTTATAAATGGTGTTATCCGTATTTTGCATAAGTCTTATATGTGGCATATCCACTACTAAGTGTTGTTAATAAGGCACCGTTCTAATTTTGATCTACGCTGTCATTTGTAAATACAACAAAATATAATTCGATAAATAAATACAAATTAATAAGTTTTGGCAATATCGAAATAAATCGAAGAAAACATTTTTTGTTTAACTATTTTTTTGTTAAAATTAAGAATGTAGCTCTATTTGAAACATGAAAACTAAAATCACTTATTTTTTTTCGAAACATCGTTCTACTCAATTTACTTTGTACTATTAAAACAAGTCACTTAAAATTAGCAAATTAGGAAATTTTACAAAAATATGGAATTATTTTTTGATTATGATTGTGCCGCGTCTTCTCATCCGAACAGTCTTTCTTTATCTAACTAGGTAGTAACATTACGTACTTGTTTCCACGCACAATTTTTGAAGTGATCCTCTGCACAGCGATCTCGTCCCATTTGTCACCCAAACACGCCCATTTCTTTATCTAAGTAGGTCGATGAATGGTAAGCCCTTCGAATTTTGTTGCAAATTTATTTTAAACTTAGCGACAATTGACAGGTTGAGGCGATCTTTGGTGACATCTATGAGATAGCTCTTTGTTCAGAAGATGTGATCATTTTAAAAATTGTGCGTGGAAATGAGTACATAGCATTATTACCTAGTTAAAAAGAAACAGTGTTTGGATGAGAAGACTAGCACAATCGAGCTCGAACGTCATAAAATCATTTGATCTGTTTAATATTGTAGGACAACGACGTTTTCATCATTTTTAAATCATGCCTAGAATACGAAGAAAATGACTGACAAAAAAATTGCAGTTTTTGATTTTTAATATTATAGTTATTGTTCTCTATTTGATTGAATTTTTCCCTTTTTTTTATTTCTTGTCTTTTTACATTGTGTGGTGTTTGAAAGGATTGTTTAAAATTTACGAACAATTGACGTCATCAAAGTGTTGTTATAGTAACTAAAAGCACAAATAAGTATAAGAAGGGAAAACACCAACCAAAATATGTCCTCTCATCCCCATGGAAAAATTGATGATGTCATATAATCATTCCATAAAGCGTTTGTCCCAACAAGCAAAAGTTTTTGAATTTTTGTAAATAGACTAACATTTATTTATTTGTTCCCTCAACAAAGTTGATTGCCTGAAGTTACGATTAATGTTGTAAGTAGGAGTACATTTAGTACAGTGAAAAGATCATATTATTCTAAAATTTTCTAAAAAAAATCTGTGTTGAAAAAAATAGTTTTTTTTACACTTTGATGACTCGTAAAATTTATAAAGAAATTCTCAACTCTCAAAATTGGTATTAAAATATATTCCCTTTGAAAAACTTTTGAGGTGTCTGAGTACGTTAAATTTCAAAGTTAGCTGCTTGTATTTAAAATTTTAATCAACAATGTAAATCAATGTTTTTACTTTTATTCAAAATATTTGTACAAAGATTAGGACCGTTATTTCAAAAATTTAGGTGACACTGTAACTCTGACAGTGCGTGTCAAAAACGTTTCACTTGACAAAAACCTCAGTGTTGAAAAAAAACACTGGTGCCGATGGTAGTTCGCCTGTAATTAATAAATAGTGCAGGGTTCGTAAAATATCCTATTTCGATGAATTCCCGACTGAATTCCTAACACGAGATCGTAAATATTTCTCTTTAGCCGAAGTTCAGCAAAATCCATAAATCAAAGCTCGGACAGAAAATAAAAAATCTTTTCGCTTAGTTTTTCATTAACTCAACTTTTTTAATTTAAATTTTTGTTGATAATTTTTGTTCGTACAGGCGTGGCTGTGAAGTTGTAGTTTTGCAAGTCGAGGTGGGTAAATAATAAATCAAACAGATTAGTCTGATAACGTGCTATAATTTCCACATCCCCGATGCGTTGTTAATTAGATTAGATTAGAGATAAAGACTCGGTTGTGTTTTAAAGTCCTGGTGATTGTGTTAAATTATTGCAAATCCGCTCCACTGTATTACTTCTTAACCGTATTCGCCAAGTTTTTAGCTACACCGTGTATCTGGAAAATGATGGATTAAGTCTTCAGTACGTTATGTACGAGGGTTTCGGGAGTCTCAAAAAAAAAATAAAAAATATTCCTTATTATGTATAATCTTTGCCATTTCTGTTGAAACACCACCTGTTGATTTTGCCTAAAATTTAGCAATTGCTAATAGTTTTCGGTTGATTGACAACGGCTTTTAGTTAGAAAATTGTCTGAATATGAACGTTGCCAAATTTACGATCAACAAGTGGTGTTTCAATAGAAATGGCAAATACATTAGATTACGAAAAAAAAAACGTAATTTTATAAAATTAACAATGGCAACACTGCACGCACGCAGGATATTTCACTAACTACTAAAGTTAGAAAAATAGTTAGTAACCACATTTGCAAAACTTTTTGGGCTTTAACTTCAGTTCACTATTTTTAAGTAGAACAGCCTATACAGTTTTATATGCCCTACATGGCTTTTTCTTAGGATTCACAATAATTTTTTATTTTTGAAATTTCGATACAACCTTGTCAATTTCCTTGAAGTTTTTTAAATATGTCATGTTTCTCAGAAAAAAATTGCAATGTTTTATGAATAGTATGGAATTTTTTGTAAATAGTACCAATAAAATTGAGCTTTCGTATACAGAATGTTTATAAAAAAATCTAAAATATTATAATCTTCCAACAGTTTATTCACATAGAACACCCTGTATTTTATTACTGCAAATTATTGTGTATTGAGTATTGTAAAACAGGAATAGGCTTATGTATGCATTTCTGTGTTACAGTCGAACATACCCTACGGTCCGAACATTTACAATCTTAGTGATTGATGAAATTATAGCATTTCGTAAACACTGTCTGTTTAGTTTATTATTTCATGACAAGTTTCTGTGTTCGGCTTGTGTAACCTGCGAATGTGTAAGTGTGCCTTAAGATCCTTAGTGTAACTGTAGTTGAAACGATTGCTACACCTCGAGTTACTTTAGTACCAGTAGAACGTTGAGGTAAAAATAATTTTCTTTGTAAAAATAAAAATTTCAAGTGCCTTTAAAATATTCAGTCCTTTTAATGATGCGTGGGGTTGTCCCAAAAATAATTTATTCTTAGTCAAACACTTTTTGCCGTTGTTGACCTTCCAAGTACTCCCACTAAATTACACAAAATGTAGGTGTAAATTTTTGTAATTACTTTAATGTAGGTATAGAAAGTTTCGATGAAAGTAAAATTATCCCATTCATTTACTTGAAAACGTAAAGCCGCTTAACGCCCAAAATTTGAATAAAACCTAGTTGAAAATTCAATAAGAAATTCCGCTGAATATCTCGACCTTTGTACACATCGAAACGAAACCAAACGTCCCTGCGTGATAAATAATTTCGCATTTAATATTACGGACTGTAGAAACCGGGTCTGCACCTTCGAGCGAATCGAATACAAGTACACAACACGCATTCCAGTTGCAAATGAACCAGCCGGCATTAGCAAACTTGGGCTCCCATTATTTATAACGCAGGTGTAAATTTCGAGTGTGCCCTAGGGAAGTTTTAGAATATTTTCGAGCGGAAAGTTTTCGCTCGTCATACCGCGCTTCCGGAATAACTTAACGTGTTCGACCTCTTCCCGAAGTCTGCGAATCCGGTGTCCGGAGTTTGGAAAGTCTCGATTTTAACGCACTTCTTCCTGGGCCGCTGGTGCTGCAGCGTCTTGCTCTTCGAACAGTAGCCGCTCGAGCTGTTGGAGCTGGAACTACCGACCTCCGCGACGCCCAGGAAGCCCTGGTGCAGCGTGGCGCCCGCGTGCGGCATCGTCCCGTACTTGTTGGCCGAGGCGAAGGCGAGGGGCGCCGCCGCGTTGTGGTTCTTCACGGTGATGGGGATGGTCTGGCCGGCGAGCGAGTGCCCGCCCCCGGTGTAGTTCTGCTCGATCACCCCCGAAATTAAAGCACTAGTGTTCAGGTCGGTCACCGCGAACTCCACGCACTTGTTCGTGGTGCACACGTCCGGAGGAGTCTTGTTCAGGAGGGGTCCGCACTCGGCCTCGTACTTGGGACGGTCTGTGGTGATGGCGTCGTACTGTTGGCGCGGCGGAGGACCGGCGTGGCGCACGAGGTACTCGCTGGAGAGGCGCTGGTGCTCGCGGAGTTTGCGCTCGGCGCCGGGGACCATTTCTCGCACCTGAAAAGGGAACAATAATACAATAATAGTTGCAACATTACCTTTCTAAAAAGGAGATTAACAATAAATATTTGTTAAGAGACAAAAGTAGCGTTTTCTGTATGGTTCGAATCTCTTGACAACATCACTGATAGTAGATTCTACGTCATGCCGCCGACTGCAATCTTACCCTTAGCTTTATGTCATACACTATTTTTTATATTTTCAAAGGAAGTTATTGCAGTATTCTCCATGTTTTAAGGCTTGAACAATAAAAAAATGTTGACCTCTTGTTTTCGTCGGTCTGTCGCTGATCAAAATTTGTTTCTTCATTCTAGTCAACATCTCGAAATTTTACAAAATGCTGTGCTTCTATTCTTGTGGCCTATCCACAGAAGAAGCTTCAAGTGTCGACAACCTGTCAAAGTAAAAAAAGGCACGACACAGACTCCTTTGGAACTGCTTTGGACATTTGGTCCTTCGAGCCGGATTTGGCTAGCGACACACATCACATGGTTCCTCGAACTGCTTTGAACAAGTTATTTATTTATATTTTTGAGGTAAAATCTTTATGACAGGGAAAATATGTTTGCTTAAAATTATTAATAAAATGCCACTTAAGTACTAACTAAGTATAATCCACCTAGATCGTGCCCCGTTTGTTTTAAAAATAGTTCAATTTCACCTTTCAACTTAACAACGAGTTTTAAAATTTTTCTTTGATACACCCAACGCACTTTAGAATGTAGTAGCTACTTTTAGTGCAAATAACTTACGGAAAATAAGCGAATTTAACCATCGGGATTTTATAAAATTTGCCATTTAAACAGTATCGTTTAGAATAGCAATTAATTGTGGCTGTAGTTATTGCGAACCTAAGTTTCCGCTCTGTAAAAAAAATAGTATTTTCTCTTTTAATTGTCTCAAGCTTTTCTTTCAATTAAAATCGTGGTTTTCCAACCGCTCTAGTTTGGTAAAAATATCGTCTTTGGTAGTTGTTGTTGTTTCTGGTCGTAAAAAAAATAGCAATTCTTCAACAAAATAAGTTGTAAATCACTCCTCAAGTTGCAAAGAAAAATTTTGACTTCGTAAATAAGTTGAGGTAAGAAATTTTTTGATAATAATATGTTAATAGGACGTTTTATAGCTCTGTTAGAAAGTGGAATTACTTTCAGCTTTTTTGTTATATCTTCTCCGTACATCGTTTTCACCATTAAAATCGCAGCAGGCTTTACAAATTATTTGTTAGTTGTATGAAATTGTTTTATTCCTCACACTTCAAAACATACCAGCGCTTCTTTTTCTAAGTTCATATGTATTTTCTTTCCAGAACAAGAAACTTAAAACACGTTTAAAATGGTAAATTCTTGTAGACAAATATGGATCTTGCAATTAAGCCCCGCCCCTCGATCTGACAACGAATGAAAAATTCATCACAATTGAGAATTGAGATCGGGGCGGGTGTGGGTGTGGTCTAATCTTTGGCTGTATTTTTTTCTTAATATACATAGTATTGTTTGAACAACATAATTCTCAAAAACAAGTTCTTAATTTCTTATAGAGAAACAAGGACTTTGCAGTTAAGCTCCGCCCCCGTGACTCACGACGAATAAAAAAAATCATCACAATTGAGATAGGGCGGGTGGGTGGTGCTATATTTGGCCTCTTTTTCTTAATATGCGTCGACAACAGGAAGCTTAAAACACGTCAGTAGTCTTGACTTGTGTTAAGAAATTTAAGATGAACAGATTCGGCCGCCAATATTTGCAAAGATTGCAGGAACTGTGGTCGTAGTTTTTCATATTGTAAATTTCTTTCAAGTGGTAAATTTAAGTCAATTTAGGTTGTGATAAACATTACAAAATTCTAGTAAAATAATTCACAATTTAAATTATAATCTAATTGTAATCGTGTAAATTGTGCCGCGTTTTCTCCTCCGAACATTCTTCTTTATTTAATTAGGTAGTACTGCAACGTACTCGTTTCCACGCATAATTTTTTAAGTAATCGCATCCTTTGAACAACGATCTCATCTCCTAATTTGCACTAAAGCTCGCCGCCAACCTGTCATTGGGTGACACACCTGTCAAAATTTGAATCTTGCCAGTAATTGTTAACTTGTGAAAAGTTCAATTCCCACGACTCTATATAAGTTCAACTGATAACAGATGTTCTAGGTAACAACATTTCTACCTATCGATCTTGTCTTAAGACACCAAACCAATTCAGCCAAGCCCCTAAATTTATCTAAGGGCCCAGTGGAAGACCATTGCACACATATTGGAGCTGGGTACTACCCGGCTGATACTAACATCAGACTATAAAATAGACATTTAATTCATATACATATCCTTTACTCGTTTTACAAATTCCAAAGCTTATGAAACCTAGTTTGAGATCACAAAAATTATTTAGAGCTCCATAAGGTATTCAATTATTCATACATCTTTTTTCAGACCTTGCAAAGTTGTAACATCGGCGTGTTATGTCCGAACTGAATTCTGAGTTTCTGTTTTAGCATATGGCGCTCGTTGTTAGAGAAAATCTTGTACATTAGTAACTAGTTCTCTTAATATCGCTTTAAACATCTACTACGTTAAATAAGGAAGAGTGTTCACATGAGAAAACGTGGCACAATCAAACAGTATAAACAGGTCAAGATTTTATGATGTTTGACCTTTATTATGCTAGTCTGCACATACGAATATTCGGTTCCCAACTCTTCTCCCCCAGAGATTTACTTTAGACTTGAGAGGAGTCCTTACATTTGATTCTTGGGATTTTCAATATATTTTCAACACTATTTTTACAAATCAATATCTCTATTATTTATGGAAATTTCGTAATGCAGTTTTCACCACTGTTTTCAGTTTACAGAACTTTACGAGGAAGACTGTGTATACGAAGCTGCTTTTGCTGTATCTCATTTTCAACATAAGAAATCGACAATGTTTTCCATATAACGTATAAAGCTTTGTAAGCTGAAAAGGGTCGTGAAAACTGCGTCTCGAAATTTCCGTAAATGATTGAGATACTAATTTTTAAAAATACGAAATGCAAAATAGCTCCCGACAAAATAGTCCAAGATCTAAAAATCTCCACTAGTGAGCAAGTTAAAATTAGACAGGATAAATGCGATTATAATGGTCATTCACATGCGGTTTTTCGACAGTCAATTTGCCGAGGTATTTGGTGGATCTTCTTAGGATGATTTGTTTCTTTAATGCGAATTTTGGTTTGTTAATCCTTTTGCAACATGAAAGTCCCACACTATTTATTGTCGACAAACATGTAATGTCTGCATATGCCACCTAATTTCTGAAACAAAAGAGTCTACTTTGAAAATTCATACAATGCAACAATTGTTGGTTAATCCGCAATTTCGTTTCCTATAAAAAAATATATTGTATCGATAAAAACATTACAATGTAGTTATGTCATGACCTGACCTGACCTGACTTGACTTGACTTGATCTAATTTGAATTGACCTCTCCTGATCTGTTTTGTGGAACCACCGAGCTATTTTGTCGGAAAAATGTAGGGACTCGCCCCAATCACAAATGACAGCTTGGTGGTCATTTATGGTTAAAAAAAAAACAGAAGATGTGATTACTTTAAAAATTGTGGGTGGAAACGAATGTTGACCTACTATTAAGTAAAGAAAGAAGAGTGTTCGGATAGGAAGATTTGCACAATTAAGATCAAACGTCATAAAATCCTTTGTCCTGTTTAATTGTAACCTGCAATTTTGTAAGTATCAAACGTAGTATTGGTAAAGTATTTAATACAACAAACTTTATGTATTTAGTACTCTAAAACAGTTGATTATTTATCATTTTAATAATAAATTAAATAGACACGTATGTTACTATATAAGAATTATAATTTCTAGATACACATGTTTTCTTACATCATGTCAGACGGCCTTTATGAAACGCCAAGTATACAGCAATTAGAAAACAATGCCAAAGTACTTATGCTCCGTCTAAAATATTCTGCTCTTTTGAAATAAAATACTCCGGATTAACTTTCTTATTACTTCATCCTTAATATTCAAACGAATTCTACCCGAATGACCTGAAACATTAAAAAACATATTAAGGACAGCTCAGGAGGCTCGCAGGGGATCAATTCCAAGGCCGTTTGACTTGTAAAGAAATCACCCCGGTTCGCCTGATATCGGATGATTAAGTAAAATACTCCCCGGGGATGTTGCGTAACGGGATTATCGCTGTGTAACGCACTAAATGAATAAAATACGGGGGAGCTTTGCGTTATTCTCAGGATAGGAGTTATGGCGCTTTTGAACAATCATCTATTTTTTATGGATCGAGTAGGGGGAACACTTAAAATATAGCAAAAAAAAGCATGAATAACAGGTACGATGCTTGTAGAATGTACGTCGTGAGAATAAGACGTGAAGACGGCACACATAAAAAAGTTGTAAAAGTAAGAAAATATTAATTCGTTGCGGGGTTCCAGACTGAGTTTAGTGTTTAGCATAACAGAATTAGCAAAATTGTAATGTTGTGTTACGTTATGTTTTCGTTAACTGTTGCTAATTTTGTTGCTACTGTTACACGAAATTGTATATAAAAATTATTATTTTTATTAGTGGCAATATAGATATGTAGATCATGTAAAATAAAACGTGACAGATCCACTTTTTTTTTTAATAAGGGGGCAAAATTCTCCAGGCAGCACTTTCAAATATTGCAGTACGTAAAGATTTCCTTGTGTTAATCTGTGCTTTGTTCGGACGTTTTTTGTTTGGAAGAAATGTGCCGAGAGTAAGGTAGCGACAAGAAATTAAAACTGCCATAAAAGAATGTCTGCAACTAGCCTTCAGCAACGCTCGCAGTTTTTAGCAGGTGTGACAAAGAATTCATAAAAATGTTCACGAGTGGTATAACCGGGAGGAATATCCATTACCGAAGAAAAAAACTTTCTCATAACATCGCTGTTTTTTCATAGCATTATCGAGACAAACTACCTCGTCGGGGATGAACAGCATCTCTGT